AAAGTGTAGTTCAAGAAATCAGAGTACACGATTTGGACGCAGAAATCATCAGAAAACAGCAAATTAGACAAGAAATGCAGGACTTTTTATTAGAAAAGAATAAAAAATTATAAGAATGCTCTCTAACACAGTTCAAATTTTATACTTATGGATCATTAAAAAATAGTGGAAGACGAGTTCAGTCAGAATCAGACAGAATGGGAGCAAGCTGGGTATTGGTAGACGAAGAAGAGAGAGAAATAATTGATGAAGGTTATTTTGGAGCAAGAAATTGGCCATCTTCAACAAAAGCAGAGTTACTTAGAATTTGGTGTATACTGCTTATCACACCTAGCAAAAAGAAAATCAAGATTTATACAGACAGTGCAGTAGCTATAACTAAGGTAGAAGAAAGAAAACAAAAAAGACTGGCAAGACAATGGTATAAAGAGGGAAATTATGATCTGATAAAATGCATTTTAGATATAGTAGAAATGAAAGAACTACGATTAGAATTAGAGAAGGTTAAAGGTCATAGCAATAATAGTTGGAACAATAGAGCAGATAAATTAGCTAGATTAGGATCTAAAATAGTAAATAGAGATAGAATTATAGAAAAACCTCCTCAGAAGTCGAACGTCACTTTATATTGGGAAGAGACAGTAGTCGAAGACCCTACAAGAGAATTCCTACAAATGATTCTCAACCTCAAAACAGGAGTAGAATGGAAATCTTCTTCGGCCGTAAGGAAATTAGAACCTAAAGACAGTGTACAAAACCAATACTGGCCTGTTATATGGAAAAGGATCAAAGAGCAGAGTGGTGTACGATGTACAAGTTCAAGGAGGAACAAGCATCTAGATGTGCTGGTCAAATGCTTACATGAGAAATTACCAGTACTTAAAATATTATCAGCCAGAAAACCAGAGTTATATGACAGTCCTATATGTATAATATGTGAAAAAGGTGAAGAAGAAAACTAGGAACACTTGACGACATGTGAGAAGTATGAAATTAAATGGAAGGATGCAGAGCAACTAGCCTCGAACTTGACCTGGACAGCTCTATCAGAAGAAACTCATAGTCAACTTGACAGAACACAGCTCAAGAAGACTTTGTGGGGTTCGTTAGAAGAAGAAAAAAATAAAACTAGGGCCAGCATACTTAAAGGTTTGATTAAAGAAGAGGTCATGAAAAGAATCCTCGAAATGGTAGGAAATTTAAAAGAACTTAGAATCTATATAGATACTGCGATCAACTCAGCTTGAAATTACTTCTATGAAAATATTTGGAAGCCAAGATGTGCATATATAAATAAATGGGAAAAGAAGAAAGGAATTGGCCCAAAAGAAAAGAAAGGGAAAAGCCTAGGCCTGAGAAGCCAAATCTCAGCAATAAAGAGAGAGAATCGATTCCAGAAGAAGAAAACAGCCAAGATCAAACCAAGAGAAAAGTTAAAAAGAAAGAAAATGATGAACGTAAAGAGGAGGAAGTAAAAGAAAGTACTTGGTTTGAAGCAATTAAAAATTTTATTAAAAATAAAACGAAGCCATTCTGGTATAGCTTCACAAGCTAGCTTGGTGCAGCCCTC